CCTGAGCAGAAAAAGGTTGTAACTAGCAATTGGACGTTTCCGGAATGCGACTTGGTGTTCAGAGGTGTCAGCTGGGACCATTCAAGCGAATCAAAGATTCAAAACAAGCACGCGTTGAGCTGTGGGTAGCTTACTTCCGTAGTGTAATACTGGGTCATAATCGTAAGTTATTAGCACCTCCGTCTATAGATTTCACTAGCAGCAAAATTTGTTAAGGGACTGTCTATTATGAGCAATTTTTTGGCATGTGGTCACATTTTCTATAGAGAATTGCGTTGATCTCTTTTGAAGAGGAAGTTGTTCAGAACAGGCACAGAATTACATTAGCAAATGCATGGAAATGGAACCTAGCACTTCATCTGGGCTCTATCACCCTGGAGAAGAGCGGCGATCGATATATGGACGAATTGGTAAGAAATTTATGATTCAGTGAAAAAGCAAAGGTAAAATCCAATGGGAAGGAAGAGCAGAATTTACAATCGTCCAGCCATGGTTAGTTAGACCATGGAATGCGGTCGCGAACATGATCATACAGGCACACTCTTACACGGACGGGCGGACATATGTCGGCAAGCGAAAAATGAGGGCCAGCTTTTGCTTGCGTTTCTCGAACGGAAATACGCTGCTGCGGACATTTCTATTTGAACGCTATAGAATGGAAAGAGTTTTTGCTAGCGTGGTATAATGGGAAATACTTTTGAATATGCAGCACTGAGAAAAGGCGAGAGAATAAAAGAACAGAATAGATGTAGGACGCAGCCGAATCAGGCTACAAGATATGAACGAGTTCAGTTTTGAAGAGAATGGTCCAAATTTACCTTTCGGAAGCTCTCCTCAAATTGTCGTAGCTGAAAGCAGTTCATCAGGCGCTTTTCATGTTTCGCCCAAAATGTGTCGAATGATCGCTCCGTTTCCTCTAAAATTGAAAATATCTATGGATAATATTGGGAGAGATGAATGCATAATGTTCGAGTGATTGCGGTGCTGCCAACTCCAGCGCTGCTTATCGGGGAACAACCCAACGAGCCTACTGGGTGCACAAACTATTGGAGCATTGGGAGAGATTTGCTGGAGAATAAAGAGAACCCTAAGAAGCAAGGATTGGTGAGATGAATTGAATTCAAGGGGATCGCCTGAGTAAGGCGGCTCTTCAACAATCCTCAAAAGAAGATGCGCCGGTTGCTAGAAAATCGCTCTTTTGTTCGAATGACGCCTCGCACCCTCTTGGAATCAATCGCGGCGAAAGTGGATGAAGCGGACGAAAAAATTTCTA